ATGAGCACAGCATCTCCCCAGCTTGTGAAGACCATAGCCCTTCTATAAATATATATATATGTATGTCCCAGCCCCGCGCAGACTGGGCTCGCTGCTTCCAAGTGACAACAGCCAAAGGAAAAAGCCAAGCAGCAGCAGGCTCCAAGCCTCCCACCCTCTCTCTTCTGACTCCCCTCTGAATTTTCCTTTGCACTTGAGCTGCCTTTAAACGTTTCCTCTCACCTATTACTGCATCCTGGTAGCAAGTGTTTGTTTTCCCCTGTTTCTCTGTGGGTGTCTGACAGACACTCGGTGGCTCGCGCTGCCAGGCACGGTTTAATGCTGTCAGTGGTGGGTGACTCACGGGTATCAGAGGTGTCAGTCCTGGCAGGTTTGACTCAGCCCTTCATCCTTTGGCAGCAGATTGAAATAAAATGCCACTTCCATTGTATTTGAGGCAGCTTTTCAGACACAGCAGTACCGATACGGCCTTATGTGCTTTATATGGATAGGATCTGTAAAGATCCTGGAGTTTGCTCACTCTTCTGGTTTTTCTCACTTCTATGTGCTGGATCATCCAAGCTGCCTCAGGGCACCTCAGAGGCTGTTGTGGATCATTGCTACCACAGCCATCCCAAGGCCAGGTAAACGCCGTGTTCCCCTTACTGAAGGTGGTGACTCGGAAATCCTGCCATTAAAAACCTGACAAATTAACTGCTTTGCTGCCTATACAGCAAGAATATCTCTGTTCTCAGTGCAAGTAGAAAGCATCTGAGTAAAATAGTGCCTGCCCATCTTTCCCTGCCGTGACCAGCCTCAATGCACTGTGCAATGCCCTCAGGCCAAACTCCAAACTTTCCATATGAGAAGTACATACGTCTTTCTGTCCTGCACAGAGTGGAAACATGAGGCTTGAATCCCACACAAGCTGTGTTTGACCACAGGACCGAACTTACAAGCTGCGGAAACTTGACAAGCATTTCATGCAATGGTCAAGATGCTCATTATGGAGATGAGTATCTGCTGATCTCAGAGTGAGAACATGTAATTTCCCATCATTATGCTACGTGGACTAAAGCTGTTGCACCTTCCTCAGAAACCCAATGCAATATCAATTAAAAGCCTTCAGCCTAAAGCCTCAAACAACTCACCCCAAAGTGTTTTTAATACTAGGTCTGCCAATAAATTGGGCAAGTAAAAGGGTGGTGGTGAAAAAACAAGCGTTCCCACTCTATCTTAGCGTGTTTAGGGAAGTCTGAGCTCTGCCATGAATGCTGGGACCAAGGCCGTAACTGTACACAGAAAGCCAGAAGAGAGAGTCTTCTGCTTCACTGTCCTGAATGCTTATGGCCAATCCAGCCCAAACCACGACAACACTTCATTTGCTTTCTACTTGTGAAAGAATTTGTGCTGGTTTAACAGTTTAGGAGATTTTCCCCTTATAATCTCTCTTCGTGATAAGAATTCTAATTGTTACTTGTAAAAACAGACTTATATGTAAAAAACTAAACTCACGAACTGCCTGAATTCACAAATCATTCAAGTTGCATTTTGAGGTCTTTTCTGATCTTCTGAATCTGGTGTCCAAGATTCAACAAGAAGAGGTTGATGCTCTCTCTTTGAAGAGACACTAAGACTGTTCAGTGCCAAATCTCAGCTTACACCAAATATCACCCAGGGGGGTGCTTATTCCCAGGGGTTTTGGGTCAAGAACACAGCTTTGTACTTTTGACAAAGTAAAAAAGTAAAGGGTGGGAGCATGAGAACTGAGTCCTGCTGCTAAATCTGACTGGTTTGTGTGTGGATTTCACATGGACAGTCCAGGCAGGTACAGAGGGAACCGAGCCAGTCTGCACAGAGCTTTTAGGGTAAGAAATGCAGCTACACTGATGCCAGGACAATTTTAGGTCCAGAAGCAGCACAGCCAAGTTTTCACAGGGACCCAGACGATCCCTTCTGAGCTGAGCAGCGTTACACAGATTTTTCCATCTCTATGGTACTCCATTCTCCTTTACCTCAAACACTGCACCCATGGCCACAGAGAAAACCTGCTCTTAGAATGCTGCTTACCTGGATACACAGCAACCCCTGTCCTCTCTGAAGGTACAGAAAAATGGGATGGATAAGGGAAAGAATCACTGGGTGGAAAGGAACCACTATTTATGAATGCTGATGAGTAAAAAGAATCCATTTTTCTACACTTGTTTTCATTATTTTAATTTAAGCCCATATTGAAAGAAGAGGTCCTTAAAACACTTATATGTGTTTTACACATTAAAACCATTTTCTCCATGCACACATATCAGACTCAAACCCACTCTACTGAAGCCTGTTACACCAACAGAGAGATCCACAGCACCTTCACGGGGTTCTCCATCAGCTGGGAGACATCTCTGTCTCCCTGAGCTCATTGTCCAGGCTCTCGCTATAGTCAGTAGAGAAACCTGGATACTCTGAGGGCACAATTAATTTTATCCCAAGTTAGTTGCCTCCCTATTAACCACCACGAAGCCTAGATGAGTAATTCAGATGGAGAAACCAAAAGTTACACAAGAGGAAACCCATGCCAGCATCTAGGAGGACACGCACAGCCCTTCCCTCCCGAACCTGAGGGCCTTGAAAAAGGATTCCCAAATATTTTTGTGCTGCAAAGAGGGAAGCGAGGCTGGAGCCATGGAACAGCCACAGGGATGTCCACAGACCTCGGGAGCAGCAGCTCTAGAAGGTGGCTATAGGTAGTGCCACAAAATATGTCTTGCAAGCAGACACAAGGGCTATAAGCCATTTTAAAGTTGTTTTCTGAAATTACGTCGCTTGGCACCTACAGCACATTCTCCCTTTGCTGCCACTGAAGAGGTTCCCTGTGAGTGATTCCAGCGTGGTCCATGTGTTCCTGTCCAACCTGCTCTGGGTGACTCTGCTTTGGTGGGGATGTTGGACTAGATGATATCCAAAGGCCCCTTCCAACCCAAACCATTCTATGATGGGGATGGGGGGAGTACAGGGAAGGGCCAGGTGAGCAGGATGGGCAAATGTGGCTCCTTGCCAAGTGAAGGCAACATGGTGGCTGTGGGCAACTACCTGGTCTGACTTGCGGAGCCACGTGCCATCAGGCCAAGGGAGACACAAGATACCAGCAAGTGGGTTGGCAGCTACCAAAATGGGAACCAATAAAAGAGTCACTGTTCTTTCTTTCAGGACACATTCCAGGACACCAGTGTGGTGCTCAAGATGATGTTTATCTCAGATTTGGCCCTGGACTGCAGCAGTCAGCCCACAGTTGGGCTTACGGTCCTCCTGCACCCTGAGCACAAGCTTCTGCCAGCCTGTCAGGTGGGGGACAGTCCCCTTGCTGAATTCACCTGAAAACTCCCCACAAACCTCAGCTCCAGCCCTTGAATGAACTCCAAACCTCGCCTCAACTCCGAACCTCAGCATGGTAAAAGAAGGGCAGGAAGAGAAACTTAAATATTATTGTCTCGGTAAAGGAGGAGAAAAGAAAAAAAGAAAACCAAATATGTATGTTGGCAGTTTTCCATGTCAGTTTTCCCATTTCCCTCCCTCGTGCACTTTCTGCAGCAGCAATCTGTCCTTTTTCCTAAACGCTGAGCAATCCCAGCACTAAACTAATCAATATTAATAGCGATGGGCTCGGGCGGGGGGAGGAGAGGAGGGATTACCCTGACCTTTTTCAACTCACACTGCCTCAGACGGCCACCAAGCAGCTGAGGAGAGAGCAGCCAGACGGTAATGCCATGTGGTTTTAGTAGCTTTTCCATTTTTTAATTTTTTTTTTCCTGCCTGTGAATATTTACTTCTGTTGTCTCAGTGCAGAGAGCAATGAAATCTGATTGTCTTCAGGAAGGAAAAAAAATAGAATTATATTAGCCATCTCCGGGCCGAACCTCGCCTTGATGGGAAACTCCACTGAAATCAGGGGAAATAATACCCAGGCTGGATTTTAACTTGAATTTCTATTAAAAATGGGAATTGGATTAGGGAAGTTTTGACAGGTGAAGCGTTGAATGCCGGTGTGCTTTGTGGATTTCTCTTATAATAGGGTATAATCAAACCCATTGAGCCTGCGACTGGGATATTGAGTGCGAGAGCAAACAAAGGGCTGGGTGAACCGGTCCTCTATTGTTAAGCACAAGTGTCCAGAGCAGCTCATCCAGATACAGGGTACGTATGCACCCAGGACAGGGTGCTCGGAATTAAAGACAAATCCTATTACTTGAAACAAAATCATAATTGAAGCTCTTTGTTTGTATTGGATTTGAGGATTATTGTAGACTTTCTGGTTAGCAGCATGTCTGAAAAAGAGAGGTTTATGTCAGGAGGCACCGTGGATTATTGGCAATTAATGCATTGTCTTTTATTTACTGAGATATTCTTGTTTCCGTGAAGCTCTTTGTTTGTATTGGATTTGAGGATTATTGTAGACTTTCTGGTTAGCAGCATGTCTGAAAAAGAGAGGTTTATGTCAGGAGGCACTGTGGATTATTGGCAATTAATGTATTGTCTTTTCTTTACTGAGATATTCTTGTTCCATATGAAAAATGTGATTTTTATAAATTTAATCTGAGAAAGCTAGATAAAATTCTATTAATGCCTTTCCTCTTTTGCTCTGAAGGAGCCGAGCCTCAGGGAGAGGTTCCAGATTGAGGTGGTAGATTTGTGGGGTGGTTTTTTTTTTTGGAGTAAACATTTTATGGTATTTTCATATTTTTTCTTTCAAGCAGAAAGCGCTTTGCAGATGGCTGAGATCACAGCACTAGCTAATGAAGGCACGGGTGTGTTTTTCCTTTCTTTGTCAGGACCCATCATGTCCGACAAACCAGATTTTGCAGAAATTGAAACATTTGACAAGACCAAACTGAAGAAGACGGAAACCAGAGAGAAAAATCCACTGCCCACTAAAGAAGAGCCTCAGGGAGAGGTTCCAGATTGAGGTGTTAGATTTGTGGGGTGGGTTTTTTTGGAGTAAACATTTTATGGTATTTTCATATTTTTTCTTTCAAGCAGAAAGCGCTTTGCAGATGGCTGAGATCACAGCACTAGCTAATGAAGGCACGGGTGTGTTTTTCCTTTCTTTGTCAGGACCCATCATGTCCGACAAACCAGATTTTGCAGAAATTGAAACATTTGACAAGACCAAACTGAAGAAGACGGAAACCAGAGAGAAAAATCCACTGCCCACTAAAGAAAGTAAGTGCTTATGAGGCTATTTGAACTACGAGCAGCAAGGACACAATCCATATTGCAGTTCATATGCAAAATGAATACTAATCATAGGATTACAGGCTCAAACTCATCCCTGACTTTAACTGGGGATAATAATAAGACTCATACTCTATGCTGGGCTTCGAGGGATACAAGTAGTTATAACCAATGCTGTGTTTTGTCTGAAAAAATCCTTTCTGATGGGATTGCTCTTGCTTTTACTAAAAGCAAGACCAGGTTTTCTGCTGGTTGCAGGTAACAGGATCAAACTGTTTGTAACGACCATGTTACAAGCCTTTTCGGAGGCACAGATGCTCAGGGGAACCCCTGCACCCCCCTGGCAGCATCCCCAGGAGGTGCCTGGGCTCTGATTTAAGGTGTTATCAGGCAGATGAGCTGCTGCCCCCCACTGGTACCTGCTGCCAGCCCTGGCCAGGAGACTTCCAGACATCTCTGGGAATAAGGCTGCAAGAGAAACCCATCATCATCCTCATCTAACAGGCTATCTTCTTCAGCAAAGCACCCCTGGGCTTTTCTCGTGCAGGGTCTTCTCCTGTACACAGGCAGCCCACTGAGGGTTGTGGCTTACATTGAACTGGGATGTGAAAATGGCATTTCTCTGCATTTGGACCAGACATTGTGAGTGGTTTCCTTCACACTGACAGCTTTGGATGGGTCAGTACCGATAGCCATGGAGACGCACTGTCCCTCATCATAAAATACCTGGTTTTTTCCCCTGTTTTATTATCCCTACCAATGCTAAAGCTGCAAATACAGGAGGAGGTTTGCACATCACAAACTGCACCCTGTTTGCTACAGAGATGTGGGAACGGGGTGATATTTCCAGGGTGGCCAAAGAAAGCAAGTGGGGACCAACCATCCCCTGGCGTTAAGAATGACCACAGAAATCTGCATCCTGCAGAATGATTATAATGTTTGTTGCTGATGTTTTTGTTTCCTCTGTTTTTCTGGCAGCTATCGAACAGGAAAAGCAAAGTGAAAGTACAGCCTGAGAGGAAAATTGAAGATGTGACTGCTGCTTCTTCAGTGGGGTTTTGGCTTCTGAGCTGGGCTGTTTTGTTTTGTCCTCCCCACCCCATGTTCGTTACCCATTTATTTTAGCAAACATTTGCTCATTTCACATTCCCCAAGTTTGTTTTGTGTTTGTTGAACAAGATACTATGTATTTGTGTTTGTATTCTTAAAACTGTAATTCCAAGTTCTGTATCAACCCCACTACTTGAAAAAAAAAAAAAAAAAAGCAATTTGCATAAAAATTGTTTTTCCTGAACCTCACAATAAACAGGTTTCCTCTGATCAGCTGTCTTTGAGCTTTGCAGAAATAGGGCTTACACTGCAACTCTTACAAGCGTCCGTCTCGCTTTGTTTCTATTGCCAGAGCATCTAGAGAGCACAGCCAGGTGGGGGGGAGTTACCCCAGGCCCCCCCAGGTCCCCCGGCCAGCACAGCCTCTCTCCAGCAGCACAGACACCTTTATCCTGCAGAATTCTGGAGACCCAGATGGCACCAACCCCCCAGGTATCCCCCAACTGCCTTTGGAGCAGCCTGGAGACTTCACTCCCTTTCCCCATCTCGCTCCAAAGAGCGTTTCAGGGGAACCCCAGGGGTGCAAATTTTGTCTGCTGGTAGCTCTTAAGCTGCTACCACCCCATCAATATGATGGGAAGCTGCTGACCTGCTTCAGTCCTGTCCAACAAAAGGCTAAAGGTCCCAGAGACAAAGTACCTGCTTACAAATTCCATGAAAATTTGATGACTGGGTTGAGGAAAGACTCCAATTAGTGTCCCAGGTGGGAGAAGGGGCACAGCACTCTCTTTGCAGTCTTTTTTGCTCCCTTTAGCCTGCTGAGATCCAACCAGCCTTGGGACAACCGCAGCACACACAGCCTGTGGCTGGCGTCAAGTGATATTGGTATCGGGGGGGGAAGGGAAGAAATTCCTCTCCATGGCAGAGGTGTTGGAACTAGATGGTCTTTAGGGTCCCTTTCAACCTAAACCATTCTCCAATTCTATAAATTTATTATTGCACTGATTTTTCTGGGATAAGAAAGAGATCTTCAGCAGAACAAACTTTCAAAGCAAGGTCTCCCTAAATCCCCCTTACTGATGGAGCAGTGACATCCTCACCCGTCTGCAGGGGGCTCAGCAAAAACAGAGTCCGGTGCTGGCTCAGGGGACTCTCAATTACACGGTATCACATTATCTCTGGAGTTAATTTGCAATCATATTAGAAAAACAAGTGCTTACTCTGGGAGGATAAACTGCTGCCCCTGGAGCTTCGGTTTGATCCTGCTCGTGCTGTGGAATAGGAGTAACTCTGAGGACGTTGGTGGGATTACTCCAGGTTTACACCTGTGTAAGGTGAGGCAGAAACTGCCCGTGGGCTCCAGAAAACAGAAACGAGCAGTTGGGGCGGTGTTCAGAAATCTCTCATTTACTTAAGGCTTGCTTGACCCTTGACATTTAATACCAAGAGCCAGAACTGCAATTAAACAATAGCAGCACAGCCACAAAATGAGTGACTTGTGGTGGCAACGAAAAGCAAACAGAGGTGGCCAAGAGACCAAGGGAAAATGACTCAGCCCCCACCCCCCCAACACTTCGAGGTCAAAGAGCCTTTGACATTATTTAAATGTCTACTTTAACGACTGTTCCTTCATGGAGAGAGCATTCAGAGACAGCACTCAGAGCAACAGCACCTACTGGAAACTCGTGTAATTAATACCATTCGACCAGATTTACCCGTTACTTTTCCACGGGGTGATTTTTAAGCACCAGATTGCACCCAGCGGGTAAACCCGCAGACTAGACTTTCTCCTTGTTTTTGCCAGGAGACAGCGTTTTGTTCCACGTGATGATCTCCCTCCTTCTCTGCCAGTTCAGAGCATCTGCCAACTCGCTCAGCACAACACACTGCAAGTCACCGAGAAACCTCTTTGGCACAACTGAGCCAACGGCCGGTGTCGGTGCCCCCACGTTCTCCCAGAGACTCAAGGTCTGGGCTGTGTCCTCGAGCCTGCCCTTGGCAGGAGGAAGGGAAGGAAGGAAGGTCTGGCCAGAGCAAGAAAACAACAGAGATGTTCTCCTCTGGTGTTTACACAAAGGATTAGCAGCCGCGTGAGAGATCAGAGCACCATCTGTAGCTCTGGAGATATCAAAGATGTCCAAGCACTTTGTGAGTGGCTCTTGGTGCCACTGCAAGGCTCGCTCTGTCCCCACGGAACCTCCTCCTCATCTAACTGTTTGCATTTAAAGCCTGGCACCATAAACACAAAGTCTCTGCACTTTTATTCACGTGTCTCATCCCCTGAAAAGCTACACCATGTTCCCCATCCCTGGGTCTCACTGCAAAAGCCATCGATCCACAGCAACTGCACACCAGGAAAAACTCCTCAAAGTTAAAGGCCAGATCTTCCAACCTCCACCCACCCACCGCAGGTAGAACATGGCTTTGTGGCAGGGTTTGGGGTCTGTTTCTTCCACCATTACCAGTTAAGAGAGGCTTAAAATTCAAGACACATAGTTAGAGTACCAGTTAAGAGAGGCTTAAAATTCAAGACACGTAGAGTACCCCAGTTTGAGGAGCGTCCCTCTCTGCTGCTGTGTGAAACCACCTCAGCCCAGGCACTGGATGGTGAGATTAACATTTGCCAAGAGCAGGGACAGGTCTGGCTCCCCATTATCTCAATCAAAGAGCCCTACAGCCCTTATCTGCGGGGCAAGCTGGGGACACAGACCAGGAAACCGCTCATCATTTAAGGCCGAGAAGAGTGAATTTTCATCATTCCAGTCATTACACCAAGGAAATATTTGTTCCCACCATTGGAAGGGACTCACGAGAGAAGCCAAACCAAACACTTCACCCACACCAAGGAAACACCTCCGGGGTGTTACCCTGCTCCTGACCTTCACTCCCGGGAAGAGCATCCTCCAGCACCGAGGCTCACCAACGGCCAACCGCTCCAGGAGCCAGGGTCCTTCCCCAGCCTCCACGTTGGTAGGGTTATCTGCAGCTCAGGTCCCCACCAGCGCTCAACCAGCTCCAGGTGGGAAATGTAAATATTTTTGCTAATTAGCAACAGCCCTTTGCTGTTTAGCTCCTTTGCATAACGAGACATTACCTTGCAGCTTCTCCAAAGGGAAAACACCTTCCATGCTGATCCAGTTACAGCTAAAAAAAATGATTCTATGTTGATAAACACCAGCTTTCTTGGCATCACCATGAAGCCAATCTTGTGCCCCACATCCTGGGGACAGGGCCAGCCCTCCGGGGATCCTGGCTGAGTCCACCCACCCCCGTGAGTCACCTCTGATTGCTTTGCACAGTCACAGCAAGCCCCAGCTGAGCAGAGGAAAGCTGCATTCCTGTCATTATTGTACAGAAGTGAGTTGATTTACTACATCTCGTTAGGCAGGCGCTTGATAACAGTGAGAGCCATGGAGGACAAACCCTGAACACAGCTTTCCTAGGAAAAGGGCATGTGAGTGTTGCATCTCAGTTGGAGTCCAGCTAAAACCCCCCGGAGGTCCTGCTGGTCCCAGCTCAGATACCACAGAATGAGACCCAAAGCACGTGTAGGGTCTTTTTCCAAACATGTTTGGGGGTTCTCTCTTATTTAGGTCACATCACTGCCATGGCTGCTGAGGTGTCTCACAGCAAATCCTTAGAGCCAGCTCTGCAACAATGAAGGCAACCAGCTTTCCCACAGCCTGGTTTACCCCAATGAAAGCTGGGACACCCATGCAAGGCCAAGGCTGGAGAAGTCTTAGCTGTGGGGAAAGACCTCTGTGTGTTTCTGCTCTGCTGTTGGTGGTTCTCCTGACACAGCAGAGACCTCTTCTACTGAGTGAAGAGCAGGGAAAGAAACAACGTGTGGATTAGGAGGGACACAAGCTCATCAGGATCGGGGGTTTGAGCTGTGGCCGGGTGGGAAGCAGGAGGTTGGGGGCCTAGGAACACAGCTGGGGTATGGAGGACAAACCCTGAACACAGCTTTCCTAGGAAAAGGGCATGTGAGTGTTGCATCTCAGTTGGAGTCCAGCTAAAACCCCCCGGAGGTCCTGCTGGTCCCAGCTCAGATACCACAGAATGAGACCCAAAGCACGTGTAGGGTCTTTTTCCAAACATGTTTGGGGGTTCTCTCTTATTTAGGTCACATCACTGCCATGGCTGCTGAGGTGTCTCACAGCAAATCCTTAGAGCCAGCTCTGCAACAATGAAGGCAACCAGCTTTCCCACAGCCTGGTTTACCCCAATGAAAGCTGGGACACCCATGCAAGGCCAAGGCTGGAGAAGTCTTAGCTTTGGGGAAAGACCTCTGTGTGTCTCTGCTCTGCTGTTGGTGGTTCTCCTGACACAGCAGAGACCTCTCCTACTGAGTGAAGAGCAGGGAAAGAAACAACGTGTGGATTAGGAGGGACACAAGCTCATCAGGATCGGGGGTTTGAGCTGTGGCCGGGTGGGAAGGAGGAGGTCGGGGGGCTGGGAACGCAGCTGGGGAGGTGCCCACGGCAGCAGAAACTCGAGGCAGAAGAAGCCAGGGCGGCTCTTGTCCTCTGCCCAGCTCCCCTCTTGTTTTTCCCAAAAACACAGGGTGAAAACAATAGTCTTTTAAAAAGCACTAACCTTCTGGTGCCAAGCTGGGGGAGCCTCCCACACCACACGCAGGCAAACAGAGCTGCTGTGTCCTCCTGGAGCCCAGGCACCAGCTCCCACCCGGTGGGTCCATGGGTGAGCTCCGGCTGTCCCAGCCCCATCTTGGGCACCCAGAGCATGTCCCCACAGAGAAACCTGCTCAGTTTTGACCATGAAACGTGGTGCGGGGAGGGTTGGGGCTGAGCCAGGCAATGTGGGAGCAGGTGTGTGTGTGTGTGTGCGGGGGTGTTCCTCCAGCTCAAACCCAACGCCGCTCAAACTGACAGCAGGGTAAGCTCTCGCTTCGGCTTCTGCGGGGGGATCTGTGCTGGGAGAGGCAGCTCCGAGCGTTTTCTGTCTTGTCAGAAGAGCTGGCTTGGGAAGGAACAGTTGCTGGGGATGGTTCACGCACATCTTGTGTGCTGTGCTGACAACAGCTCTTGACAACTCCCTACCATCAACTGCAAATCTCCCAACACTTCGTCTTTGCTTCGGGGCCCGGCTCCAGAACTCATTCCATCCGTGGGGAATCGGGAAAATAGGGAGTGGAGATGGGAGAAAAGGGGGGTTTCTAGCCAATGTCATCAGAGAGACATATGAAAATGGGGTCTTTTAGGGCTCCAGCAGTAGGCAGGGAATGAAAAGAATGATTTTTTTTCAAA